TCTGAGTAATTATTTCTGATTTCATTTTTTCCAGATCCTCTTTTGTTGCCAGTTCAGGGAGTCCAGGTGGTTGAGTATCAGATGGTTCCATCTCGGTTCCCTTTGGGGTTGCTTTAGGTGATCTAGTGTTCTGTTTTTGAGACTTGTTTGCATGTCTTCTCATTTCAGCGGGGGTTGGGGTGGGGGTGGGAGGTGTGCTCCTGGCACCCCTGCAGCTCACCTCTTTGGCACTGAGGACAGCCCTAAAAAGTTCTTATTAAAATATATTGAGGACCATGATTTTAAAAATTCATGTTGATGTTATAAAATAGGTATTATCACATCCATTCTCACTTCTTTTGTCAGTAAAAGACAATATTTAGGCCAAAAGTACTATTGCCCTTTACCTGGCTGTTGGTTGAAAATGGCCCCCAGTTTTCATGTGCTGTGAATCCACACATGATTATATCACTCATTTCCATTTCATTTCAAACATTATAGCAAACTAACCTATAATTTAATATTTAAAATGGACAATTAAACCCAATATGCAAATGAAAACCTCAACCAATATGTTAAAAGTCCTTAAAAATCATAAATCAATTTTCATTCACTCAAACCTTTTTATTTTAAAAAATCGTAAAATATTTTGCTGCTTTGCTTTAAAGCATAAGTGAAGGAAAATTTAAAATGAAAAGTAATGAATTATTTATTTATAATTATATGCAAGATGTCATGAATTTAAAATATAAAAAGACAAAATTTATAAATTCAACATTTTTAAGAAACTAGTATTTTAAGATTTCTAAAGCAAATATAGAAGAGGGATATACAGTCAATACCATTTAATCCTAAATGACTATATCTTTCTCCTCCAATGCATTAGCTTTAAAAAAATAAATGAACTCAATCATATTTGACAAATAACAATCATAACACAAGAGAAGACATCATTTAAGGCATAGAGTATATAATACTAAAGATGTTTGCTTCTTCCAGCCAATTAACATGTAATCTATTAGATCATCTCCGCATCTACATTTGCCTAGATACAAGAACAAATTTCTGACAAAGTGGTGTCAGTATCCGATGGATATAGACTGGTACTGTTTTATGGATCAATTAGCAAAAATAATTAAAAATACCTCTTTGTGTAAAGACAGAACAAAATTTGTCTAAGGGGCCACAATTAAATACAAAATTTCTTACTTGAGAGGTTGCATCAAGCTGTCAGGTCAATTTGAAAATTAGAGACTTGTGGCCAGATACTTTCAACTACTTCTTGAAAATCTAGCTATTAATGAAAGTGTTTAAACAATAAAATGTATTCTTATTGTTAGTATGAAAAGTTGTGGTGTATTTCACAGCAGTTCTGTAGTCACAGAATACATGAGGACATCAGTGTCCTCCCTAATGTTTTTATAGTTACTTCAGGCTTCATTATCACACAGTGTGTGGCAACATGCACCTACATGTGGTATAGAATTTGAATTTATGAAGAAAGCCATTGGAAATAATAAGTGACAGTATAAAAAGAATGTTTAAAGCTCCTAAAAAAAGCAGTTTTCATGCCTTTAAACGCATCCATTTCCATACTGCTTGAGATATATACCAGTATTTAGATAACTTCATCATATCCTCTACAATGTCAGGCAATACTAACCAAACTCTAGAATAGTTCATATGATACTCGTTATATCAGCAAAAGCACTGATTTAGGAAAAAAGATTCTAGTTAGAAAAATTTTACAACTCAAAGATATTAACTAAATGGTTACTTTATGATATAACTATATTTAATTTTAAGAGAAAATTATCTGGGGTAAAAAGAGAGGGGTAGGAAGGATATTTAAATAACATGGCAGGGTTGCTGATGGTCTTTAAAGAAACAAAATGATTTATATTTAGTTTCAATTTGCCTGCATCCCTAGAATATAAAAACCTTCAATAAAGTAAATGTGTTAATACTAGAAATGAATATCCTAGAGAAAAGTTCCATTCTTTCTATGGTCAACGTCAGGGCAGAGGTAAAGGAATCATGAAAGAGAAAAACTGAAGCTCAAGATTTCTATAGAATTAAAGAGTGGGAATCAAAGGAAATGATTAGACTACAAGCACCACAGGAAATTTAAACCAGGTAGATAAGGACATTGTACTTTCTTCAGAACCTGAAATCTGGGTTGAAGCTAATCCTGTCTAGATCTTTAAGGGCCCATGAGACAGAGAATGGTGTGTTGGATACACAAACGTATGGCTATATGGCCAAAGCATCTGTATCTAAACATATTCAAAAAAATAAAGATAATAAATATTCTTCTTTTGTTTTTCCATTGATGCCACCACAGGAATTATCACAGATGTTTTTTCTCCTGTCTGCTAATCTGTTAAAGACTATGATCCTGGGAAACAGACCTTGGAGAATTGCTTTCTCTTCTGGTACAAAAATATTCTAAAGTTCTATTTTTTAAAAAAATCTCCCACCAGGTGAAATCAATGTAAAATATTAAAATAGGATTTCAGCTCTGGAAATCTAAATCATTCTCTTTTACATTGTCCAGAAAGATCATTTACTCATACTAAATGAAAAATGCCTTCATTGTGCTATATATGAGAGGATGAAGAAAATTAAATCATAATGAAGATAATCTAGAATATCCAATTTAAAACTTAACATCATATTATAACAACACTGTTTCATTTAATTTTCTCGTTCTGGGGTATTTCTAAGAGTTTTTAAAATGTTTAAATTGATATTTTACTTGTGGTTCTTTATTTTTATCAATATGGGGTTTAAAAAACATAAGTCACTGACAAACATCCTAATTTCATCTTTTCAACTGTATATTTATAATTTCATATATTAGGTAATTCTTATTCATAAAAATATAACATTTATGTAGCTAGTACAGAAGCAATAGTTACACATTGATTTGGCTACATAAAAGTATTCAGGAGCACATCTCACCTGAAGACATTTATACTTTAATTATAGATGTAAAACCCACAAATAATAATACAAAAAATAATCCATCAGTATATACAAAATAAGGTGATATATATTACCATTTTTGAGGGAATTTTGAAAGGATGATATAAAGAAATGAATTCTAGTACATATATAAAGATTTATGTAAGAGAAACCATTGCAATAGGTTTGGTCTCAACTTTATTAAAGTTCTATAAAATAGAAAATGAAAGCCTTAAAGAGGTAATTTTCTTAAAAAGTTGCTGGAAAATTTATACCTCCAAAGGAAGCTCAATAGTGCCAGAAGGACTTCAGTCATTACTCTAGACATCGAGGCATTTGGATAGTTGGATTTCAACCCATGATGTTTGAAGATAGGCCTGTTTAATAAGCCCAAAATTGAAATATGTCTATCCCTTCACCTGTGGAAAACAAATGCTTTAGTTGCTTCAGGATCTTATGATAAAAGGATGGTTTTCTTTGAATGATCCCCATTTACTCATTGCGTTTGGATTTCAGCCTGGCTGGATGGAGAAATCATTCTGCTTCTTAAACCCACTGTGTCAAATTGTGATACACCCTCAAATATTTCCTTCAAAATCAGAATTTTGTAAGGGTGTCATTTACCTATTTCTGTCCACACTGGGTGCTAAAATACAGATTTTAATCTAGATAGGATCCTCTCAGTTCAAATGTCGATTCTTCAGCAATTCCTGGGGTTTATTGTCTGTCTTCTTCTAGTCCTCTCCTCATACCATCACTTCATTAATAAAGTTGTTAATGTAGATATGCAATAATTTCAGATTCCAAAGTTTCAATTTTTGCTCATTAATCAATGGATCCTATCCTTTTACCAAAGGGCTGAGAAATCTATATGCTCCTTGCTACTTTTCTCAACTATCAGCTTCAGAAAAGTAGGTGTATTTTTATTGAGTATACTTCTTTTGATGCCTAGCTTTTATTTCTGAACATGCTAAAGGTAGAGATTTGGGGAAGATACCCAGCAGGGGAATAGCTGGGTCAAATGGGACCTCTAGCTCTAGTTCTTTGAGGTATCTCCATACTGAAAACTGGATAAAGAAGATGTAGTTTTTTTATAAAATGGAGTATTACTCAGCCATAAAGAACAAGAAACTAGAGTCATTTATAGCTAAATGGATGCATATTGAGCCCATACTCTTAAGTGAAATAAATGGGACACATATGTGTAAATACTGAATAGTTTCTCTAGTGTGAGAAACTGAAAGTGTAATTAAGGATTAAAATGAATAATTCATAATTTGAAATAGGAAAAGGTCCAAAGGTGTGGTGGGAGGGGAAGGGGAAAGGAAAGAAGGGAAAGGAAAAATTATGAGGAAAAAAAATGGAAACAAAATTTATGTAAATAGGAAAGGGTGGAGGGGGTGAAGTGTGCACAGGTAATGGACAAAAAAATAAGAACTAAGATACATCATGTACAGGTACAAGCACCCAAGGATAAATGTAAATGTATTGTATACCTAAAATGTACCAATAAAAGAATTAAAAAAAAAATAAAGGTAGAGGTTTTAAGTGCTGAGTCTTTCAAATGATTTTAATTGAGTCCTTTATTTAATGGGTTCACTAAAAGAATGATTATATAAAAATTAAAATAGATTATAATAGAATAATCTAATAGTTAAGAACATTGATCTGGAGCTAGAATTCCTGAGCCTGAATCCCAACTCTTTCACTCACTTCCTATATTAATAGCTATGTGACCATGGGCAGAGCACTGAATCTTCCTGACCTTCTGATTTTGCATCTGTAAAAGAGGGATTACAGTAATACCTACTTTGTATTTTTGTGGTGAAAAAGAAATATGATAAGTAATTACAACATTATCTAGCACAGAGTGAAGTTACTGAGATATTTTCCATTTTTTGAAACCAATTTCTATTATTATTATCCATCTTTTATTTTTCCCTTTCTGGAGGCCACATAGAGCTTTTTTCTCCTTAAATGCTATAAAAGACCATAAAAATTTTAGATCCTATTATCAAAAAAGGGTCCTTTCCTACCTATCGTCCAGACTCAATATAGACTCCTTCTCAAGTGTTTCTCAATACCTAGATATGGTGTTCTGGACCCCTTACATTTTGCCATTTCATCCCTTCATGTCCAATATCCTGAGAGCACATCTGAAACTCTAGACGAGACTAAAAACCAGAAGCTTAATTGTAGAGAAAACCCATTCCAAACTGACAAGTAGGGATTTCATTTGTGCCACACACCTCCATCATCACTATCTCCAGAACCATAAAATAACAACAGACAAGGTTCTGGTTTATTCAAAACTTTAGAAACTCACATTAACCATGAATTGTCTAATACTCTGGGAAAAATATTCAGACAAAAGTGCACCTGCTCATGAAATAAGCCACAAGGGAGATGTTCTCTCTTGTTCTTCAACATTTTGCAAGCGTGCTGTGAACCATAGAAAAGTATCTTTTCAATTGCTTCTCGGCCTTTTGGCTAAGATCAAGTGAAAAGTATGTCTTTTCAGCTGACCTGATCTTCTTACCACAATAGTAGAAGTTCCCAACCTTTGGCTTCAGTACTGTTACCAATATAACTGATGCTTCCAATTGCTTAGATCCTGGCTCTGATGCCAATAGCCATGATGTTTAGGCTTTGCCCAGAAACACTAGCACTTCCCACTTACATTGAGCTTAATTAAGGCTATAAACCTGCAACATTCTGCAATCAATAGATTGCATAATTGATTAATTTGTTACCCACACTTCAGTTAAGTATATTTATTTATATTTGGAAATGAAGATAACACCAAGAAATTCCCAGAAACCCAGCTGTAGACTTTGTCTCCCAATAGTTACCAAGCCCAATCTTGAACTCATTCTCCTTGTAGAGAAAAATGAAGAATTCAGTGTTTTAAGAAAATACCAGATGTTGAACACGATCACCATCTGAAATCAACACTCCCTCCTACAGTTTTCTCGACCTGCTTGAATCAGCTGTGATTTTTATCAACTGAAATTCCTCAACAGGGTTAGAAGGTGATAGAGAGAGGAGGGGAAGTGTCACATATCTCAATCAATATCAGAAAGAAAATATTTTTAAAGGAATACATGAAAGACTGTTTTCAGATCCTCATGATAGTTTTGAATATTTGGAAATGTCATTTGGTCTCATAGGATACAGTCTCTGTTTTAAGATATCCTAAAAGTGATTTCTAAGATCAAATTAGAAAATTATATTAGCATATATTTGAATAGAAATTAACATATTTGTGTGACTCCAAAAAATACATCTCTTAATAATTGAGTAAAGGAACAATTACTGAATGCATGATTTGGAGATATCTCTAGTGGTAATGTTAATGTTAGTAGTCATGAACTATTTTATCCAGTTAACCAAAAGAATTATGTGGATTAAAACATGAATTAAGTGTAGATTTAAGGGATCTATTGCTGTTGTATAGATAAATTTTTGAGATGTTTAGAAGAAAATTACAGTGAATAGTCATATCCCTAGAGGAATATTAGGGTAAACATTAAGAAGTAATAAAGGCCGGGGATTTACCTTAGTAGTTCTGGCGCCTGCCTCGTAAGCACAAGGTCCCGAGTTTGATTCCCAGTACAAAAAAAACAGTAATACATATCTACATAGAATACAAATAAATTACAAATATTTCAGACAATATAATAAAAATAAAATTAAAGCAAAATGTGCACTGAGAAAAAAATATGTTTGTGACATATAAAAGGTGACTCCTTAAAATGTAGAAAGGTGAATATTCTTCTTTAGCCAGCATCAAATTTATTTACTTAAAGTCTTTATCAAGATAGTTATCAAAAACACAGGTTAACAGAAATACAGACGAAAAAAATCATATAAAACAATTTATCCTTCTTTAGGCAAAGTAGTACTCCATTGTGTATCCGCATGTTTTCTTTAACCATTCATCTGTTGGTGGACATATAGGATACTTTAAGATTTAGCTATTATGAACTGTAGTACTATAAGCATGAGTATGCATGTATCACTGTAATATGATGTCTTTAGCTCTTGTAGGAAGATGTCTAGGAGGGGAAGAGTTGAGTCAAGTAGAATTTCTATTTTTAGTTTTTTTGAGGAATCACCACTGATTTTGTAGTGGTTGTATCAGTTTACTCTCTCCCCAACAGTGAAGAAAGATTCCAGCAGCCTTACCAGCATTTGTTTATATTTGATTTCTTGAAAATAGCCAGTTTTTAACATGTTATGGAATCTCAGTATTGTTTTAATTTGCATTTTTCAAGTGGTCAGCAATGCTGAACATGTTTTTAATGTATTAATTGGCCATTTGTACTACCCCTAAGTATCTATTCATTTCATATGTCCATTTTTTGATTGGGTCTTTAAATTTGGGGTGTCTAATTTTTTAAATTCTTTATATATTCTAGATAGTAATCCTTTCTCTGAAGAGTAGCTGGCAAAAATTTTTTCCATTCTGTATACTGTCTTTTCACTCTGATGTTGATTATCTTTGCTGTGCAGAGCTTTTTAATTTAATGTGATCCCATTTGTTGACTCTTGGTATCATATGTTGTGCAATCAGAGTTCTGTTCAGAAATCCTTTGCCTGTGTCTGTGTCTTCAAGAGTTTGAGTTATTTTGTGGTCCAGCAAATTGTTTCCATTTTAATAGTTAGATCTTTAATCCATTTTGATTTTAGTTTAGTGCATGGTGAGAGATATGGGTCTAGGTTAAATCTTTAGCATGTGGATAGCCAGTTTTTCCATCATCATTTGTTAAAGGGGCTATCTTTCCTCCAGTGAAAGTACTTGGCCTCTTTGTCAAAGATAAGGCAGTTCGGTGTACCTAGAGTTGTTTCTCTATCTTCTATTCTGTTCCATGGATCCACAAGTCTTTTTTGATGTTGCCACTACTGTGCTGATTTACCACTGTAGCTTTGTAATATAACTTGAAGTACAGGATTTTAATGCCCTCTATCTTGCCCTTGTTGAGAAGGAAAAAAAACCCACTATGTGACTTTGAAATCATATTAATGTAGAATATTTAACAATGAAATATTCTACAGTATATGTGATAAAAAAGAAGAATGAACTTTATATATTGCACCAATGTCTGGAAGGTGATAATAACAGAATGGTTGATGATATTACAAGTAACTTCTTTTATTTTATACTTTAACATATGTATTTTTCATTTTTCCTAGAGTTAACATGCAATAATTTAAATCAGGAAAAATTATTTTTATCAAGGATGCAAAAAAGACTTTATTAACTGGGATAATTTTAACTACATAGTAGAATCACCAGGGGAGCATTAATAAAACCAAATCTTAGTTTCATTCTAATTTTTTGATCAAAATATTTCATTTTTTTTATTTTCTTGCTGATTGTGATGTTTTCAACATGATTCTCAAGGGATTCCTAAGTAGTCAGACCAGTATGAGCCCACAAACTGGCCTTTGGGTACAACTGGAATATCATAACTCCTTGGGACATTTTGAGAATCAAGTGAAATAATGTATGTGAGTGATCAAAGTATGATAGATAACTAATCCAATTATGGGCTTTTTCCCAGTAAGCTCTCCTCTGAGAGATTTTACTTCTTTTGGAAAAGAGTAGTTCAATGAAGCATTTATGTCTTTCTAACACTTTTGGAGGTGATAAATCCCAGCTTTCTGGGGCCTGTGACCAAGACTTGGTCTCTTATCTCCCTAGTAGTACAAGGAGTGGTCCAGGATCTGACTAATCAATCATTACCAAGGTTTTATATTTGTTTGTTTTTCTGAGCATGGCCAACAAACTGTAAAGTAAGCCTATTCCATCCCAGTTTTCCTTGTGTAGGGAAGAACACTAATACTCCTATGTGATTAGAGTAAAAGCTCTTGCCTTCATATCCTCCATTGTCTGTCAATGGGTCCTGTTAGCTCTCCTTTGAAATATAGTATACCACAAAGCTGCCCACTTCTGGCCTCAGTTTACCACTAGTTTGGAGCTATTGTGCCACTTGGTGCCTACTTGGTGTTCTCTTTGTCTAACTGGAAGCAATTGTCTCAAGAGCCAAATATACAGTATTTTAAAAGTATAAATCTAATGGTGTAATTTCTTAGCTGAAATTCTCCAATGAAATCACATTACATTTAAAATAGTAGCTACAGGTCGGGGATTTAGCTCAGTGGTTTTGCCACCTGCTGCACAAGTGCAAGGACCCGAGTTCGATCCTCGGTACAAAAAAAAATATGTATTACCCTTGGGCTGGGGATTTAGCTCAATGGTTCTGGCTCCTGCCTCGCAAGCATAAGGTCCCGAGTTCGATCCCTGGTACCAAAAAAAGAAAAAGATAAAATAGTAGCTACACTTTTGTATCCTGACAAGCCTCTACTTGGTTTACCTCTTGACTGCTTCTCCAAATTCATACATCGTTTTCCTAACACTCTTAATTCTGACTTTCTCACTGCACCGTGAACATGGTATATTTTCCTTGCCTCTTTATACTTACTCTTTCCATTTCCAGGACTGCTCATCAAGTAGACATACAAATACTCCTCACCT